AACATAGACACAACAGAGATGAACAGCCACCGCAAGTGAGAGGTAAAGAGGTAAGACTTTCTTTGGGTCACAGTTTTATCTTAATAGTAAAAGCTTTAAACTACTTAATCTTTTGTTTGTTTTTATGATTAATTAGTTGTTTTAAAAACCTGAATTCACGTCAATGCTTTAAACCGAAACTTTGAAATAGAAATATTTTCGTATAAGAATAAATTAAAAATGTTCTTACATAAAAATATTTTTACATATATCTTATAATAGTATATTTAATTTCATATTACTTTGGGTTTTTTTTTTTTTTAAAGTAAACTATTACCAAAAATTGCGTACTGTAATTTAAGCTGTTTGCGTGTCACTGGGTTTTTATCCAATCAAATCATCAAAACAATTCCTCATGACAAGACTGAAAGCAAAACTGGCCAATCACCAGTTTTTCCTCTTAAACAAGCCGCTCGGTTGATTGATAGCTGTTTGCTAAAACCATTCTTGGATTTTTATCAACTTGACCAATAGAAAAGCCAGAGAGGCGTGCAGACGTATGGTTGGAAAGCCAATCACGATGTACCTCGGGGTGACGCATCCTCCCATCAGCTGTTTTTGTTTTCCTGTGTGGACACTGGAAGTTAATAACACAATAATAACAACGGGAGTGTAGCCTCTCCGAAGTGAAACGGTCGTCAGTGAGCTGTTCCTGTTTATCTTTGCTCCCGTTCCGGTTAGCCAAAGCAGCTCACGCTCCTGTTTACGATGTGCACCATCTGAGCCAGCCTGCCCGGACATTCCTGTCCCCGAAGAGTGTGAGCGTGGCGCTTACAGTCGGGGAGCAGCAAAAGGGGAAGCGGGTTCCGGCGGGGATCCACCCGGGCCCAAGGCCTCCGACCTCTAGAGGAGGGGGAATTCAGCTGCTGGGATGGAGTCACCGGACTTATCCGACGACCCCGGAGTGCATCGAGGTTTCATCTGTGCCTCGTTTAACCAGGACACCACGTAAGCGACCTGCGAGCTGGGCCCTGCATGAACTCAATCTCCTTGATACACCTGACCGTTGCATAATTATTTTCAGCTGCATTTCTATAATGTGGTTTATTTTCTGATGGGACCTGCAAAGTGAGCGCATGCAAAATGAAGTAACCTTTTTGTGTGCA